CTGTGTGTCGGTCACCTCTCGAGTAAATTCTGGATAAAAACAGACATTAAGAATGGATCATCTACGACACAATTTCCATCTTACCAGATGTAATAATAAAAAAAATTAAACTAAATCAATTAAAATACAAAACTGCATTGATCAACATATTATATTTCAGAAATCACTGTTTACAACCTAATCTATGATCGCCAAACTTTTAGCTAAAGAAGACTGTTTTAATAGTGTGGCAAATTTAAAGCAAAACACAAACGCAGAAAAGAAAAGAACAGGAAGTGACCCAAGTGTGCCAGAAGCACTTTGAGTTGTACGTCAGTGCATCACAATACATGTAGAAAAAAATAGCAGCCAAATTAAAATCAGGTTGGTCTTTTTTGTACGGTTTCTGAACTTGTTGATTGTGCCTTAAATGTGGTATTTACTTGGACGACAGAGCAAAAACAAACACCCCCCACCCAAAAAAAAAAAAAAAAAACTGATTAAAACAACTAATTTTTAAACTCAACTTTAAAACCCCAAATGGAAACAGCAGGGACATTCTTGTTAGCTATGTAGCAAAAATACAACAGTTCACTGTAAAAACACAATTTTTAAGCAACGTTTTAGGAGCAAATTACTAGTTGAGATGAAAACTTGTTGTATAGAGTACTACAAAATAAAAGTTCACAATGTATAAAATTATGAGCTTCATTTGACATTCACTTAAGTCTTCATCAGATCTAAAGTGATAGTTTAAAACAGTTAAGGATCTTGAACTGTAGTCTGGAATCACTACAGAATAAAAGAAAGAACATCTACATTAACTTTGCTACGGCTTGTTCAACTTTTACATACCTGTGAGGACCCTCATGGCCCCGTGCACAGCATTAATGTCTCCACTGACCAGCATCTCCATCAGGAGGGTGAAAAGCTGAGGCCACGCTTCAGGCCAGTCCCAGTGAGCAATGGCTGACACAGCATAGGCGACACTGGAGCGAACTTTGCTGATCGATTCCCGCAAACCATTTGGCAGCAGCTCCCTGATGGCAGCTTTAGCCTGGAGGAGAACAAAAACTTTGATCTGCCGTCTGATCCTTCAGGGATGAAATTTATATGGCTTTAAATGACTCTTTAAAAAAGGCAAAACATGGAGTGATCCAGAACTGTGTGTTAAGTTTTACATCTTTATCCCAGTCTCAACTTAAAGAACTAATTAGATTTGTTTCAGGCAAATTGAGGATTTAAACACCGCTAAAGAATAAAACTAGTCCCAGTGAAAACACCAGTATTCAGTGAGGATTGTTGTACCTGATCTGTGGTTTCAGGAGGCCTGAACTTTTCTGACTGGGAGCACCAGTGAGTCTCCACGTACTGTTTGAGAATGACCGACGCCAACTGCAAAGACAGACAAACGAATGTTGGTTAAAATGAACCTGAATCATTCCGAGTCAGAGCAAACATACACAGGTCATGATCAACAGCTTAATGAAACAGTTTTGGACCCAAATGTTATTTTTGCTCACCTGACGGATGGCAAGTGCTCCCTGAGGGTCAACTGTGAGTTCGGCCAGGTGGACACCAAACTCTGTAATATGAGCATTACCATAACATTGTAAACACCACACAAACAATCAGCTGGAAATTGGTATTTGAGTATGTTTTTGCACATAATCACAAAGAGCAACAACACAGTTTGATTCAAGACAAAAAAACACAATGAAACCGAACAAACTGATTCACCCCTGGCATTCAGGCTCAGCATCAAACTCTAACTGGGTTTTACCAAGAGTGACATCAGGCGCCAGAAGACAATGTTAATGCTGACAATCCTGCCTTAGAGTGGGGCCAGCGGAAAGGGTCGGCCTTGCTGTGACGCTAGTGCACGACGGACGAACAGTGCGCACAATTAAGCTGCAGGATGAGAACTCCAGCACAATGGAAAAGCTTGTGGAGAGCATGCACTACAGTTACAGTGTAAAGCAACTGTTTGCTGCAAAGTTCTGCCTTTAAATTAAGCAAAATCTGTGAATAGCTGCCGGTTCTTGTTTTGTCTGTTCACATGTTACACATTAATATATCTGGAGCAGGCTCTTTCAAACTGCACAATTTGAATACATTTTTATGCTAACAATTTAGCACACTGGGAAGCTCTACATCTACTTGTGAACAAAAAAAAGTCTACTTGTGAGCATCTCACTTTAACTTGGATGCATCTACATTCTGAAACTGGATGTAGCCTTATTTAGAGGTAGCTGAATTCATATTTAAGTGGTGATGTTTCCTGAGTAATCCTCTCGTCTTTTCCTGCTATTTTATTCCGGATGATGCAGAAAGCTGGCAGCATGTCCGGCGGGATCAGTGGGAGAAACCCACCCACCCTCTCCCCCCAACTGGGAGACGACTTCGCGGGGAAAATCTGTCAAATGATTCTCAACGGTTGCCGGAGCGACTGAGGAGTGATGATGAGTCGATGTCGTAAAGGTGATGCTATTATCGAAAATTAGCCAAAACAGCACTTATTTCCGGCGACCGTTGCCAAGCAACGTATGCGCACGAGACTAGAAACGAGCTAAAATGACTTCTTTACAAGTGAAGCAAACACATATTTTTGTTTGTTTTTAACCCAACATGAATGGCGAAATTTCTACGTTTTTTAGTCAACAGACTGGGTTTCATCCTGTTGCTGAGGCCGGGAGTTCGGTCCACACATTCCCCCATGTGCTGCAAATAACACGAGCTAGGTTACGGCTAATGATGACACTAAACCACCACCTAGCTTTCGGGTCGCTCCGACCTGTCATCTTTAAAAGCACGCCTGAGAACGGAGCGAAACTTGGTACGAGCTTTCAGGCTGATTTTATACATCGGTGAGTTCCGAGAACATGGCCTAACGTTAGCTACAGAGACTCGGTGCAGTTCTGCTAACGCTGTGGTTGTTAGCTGAGTTAAGAGCCCAGAGTGACAGGCTGACACACAGCAGCACTCCGCCGTTAGAAAGGTGACACCACCGGGAAACTAGTCACCGGCAGCCTCCAGAAAATGCGGCCACCACTCACCTTCAGTCACTTCCAGCACTTTGATTTGCTCCTCTGCGGCAGCGCGCACTTCTTGAACCGGGGACAGGATGGCGGTTAGCGTCTCAATCAGAGCCTCTTTCAGTCCCTGCTGTACGGGTCCGGCGGCGGGACCGGCCCGAGGGTCGCCCGCTGCGCTCATGTCTGCTTGCTGCTGGGCTTCCTCGTCTTGCAAGCCCGCTAACGGCGAGTTCTCTCTCCAGCCGCAGAGGAGCGGAGGACCACGGCCGCGGACGGAGCGGTGAAGCGCGCGAATGCATGGAACGGTGGAGGCGGGGTTTCGTTGTAGCTCGCTCTTCCGGGTTGGCCCACGTGTTTTCTTTTTTTTATTATTGTCTTGTGTTAAACTGTCTCCCTCTTGTGGATCGGTGGATGCGGCCTTTCGAGGAATTGTTGAGTATAACCGGTTTACTGATACTAACGCACATGTCACAATTTGCATAAATGTTTAATTTAGGGACACGTTATCAGAAAAATCACTATATAAAAAACTACAGATTATGTTTAGTTCACGATTGTTTCACCAGTAAACATGACATTTCAATGTGCGCCTTTCAAATCTTTTAAAGAAAGATTTATGTGCAAATTTGTACAAAAAATAAATAAATAAAAAGCCAATTTGGAGTACACATAGAAAACGAGGCATGCTGTAATTTCTGCCCAAAAATCTTATGGTCTAATGGTGCAGGTATCTGGTGAAAAAATACTTTAATTTCTTAGAAATACATCATGTCTATATTTATGGGTCTACAATTTTTTTGTGTTGTGCACATTTTTGAATCATCCATCTTCTTTGCCCCCCAAATACTTGAACTTTAGGGTGTAGTTTGGGTGTTTAAAGAACTTTTGTTTTGCAAATCCCAGTCACTGTGACTCATATCAGCATCCTGTTTGTTGTGTAAAACATACAGAAATGAAATAGAAAATAATGCCACTTGTTCTTTTCTTGCTGAGCTAAAATTACACTCACCCCTGCAGCTTCAGTGTCAACCTGAAGACAGTTGTGACAATGTTGAAATAAGAATAATTGTATTTTTCCCGCCGCTACATTTTCTCTGCAGCAGATTTGAAGAATTAAGGCACAAGGGTTGGACTGCTGAAAAAAAGTAGATTAAAATACGAAAACTCTCAAAGAACACAGGTCAGAGGGTTGTAGTTGTCAAGAACTCTCACATGTGCATGTTTAGGCTAGTTTTTTTTTTTTTTTTGTTATAAGAAACGTTAAACTTGTGTTTCACTGAAAACAATCTACCATCGTCTTCACAGTAAAGACAGGGGCCATCATATCATAAAAATGTTAATAAAATTCTGCTCGGAACAGGAGATTTTTTTATGCACACAGTGAACGTTTCTGTCCAAATGGCTTCATTATGATTGTGTTTAAAATACCTTGTGCAAAGTGGTGGATCGGAGCTTGGTTTTGGTGAAGAAACCTGTACGAGGACAAACGCCCAAGTTATTTGTATTTAGGTTTACTTAATGTTTTAAAAGGCTCTATTAAAATAAAACACTTTATTTCTTCTAAGTTTGATAACAGTTTATCCTAATTATTGTAAGCTAAATAGAAAAGACTCTAGACACAAGAGACTAAAAACTGTTTTTTTTTTCTTGGTTAAGTTAAAAAAAGGTTTATGTAAAACAAAATCCAATGTTTTACAACTGGAAAGTTTCCTATCCCTTATCTAAAGCTAATATATAATTGAGTGTGTGATATATTTATAAAAACTTGAAGTGATGAACAAAAATCTAATAAAACCATTAACTTCCACCATTTTGCAACACGAACCTTCTGGGCCTTATTGTTGGAAAAATAAAAGTCAGCTCACAGAATAGACGGTATACGTG